TCTCAGGCCGGGCGCGGTGGCTCAAGCCTGTAATCCCAGCACTTTGGGAGGCCGAGATGGGCGGATCACGAGGTCAGGAGATCGAGACCATCCTGGTTAACACGGTGAAACCCCGTCTCTACTAAAAAATACAAAAAAACCCTAGCCGGGCGAGGTAGCAGGCGCCTATAGTCCCAGCTACTCGGGAGGCTGAGGCAGGAGAATGGCATAAACCCGGCAGGCGGAGCTTGCAGTGAGCTGAGATCCAGCCATTGCACTCCGGCCTGGGTGACAGAGCGAGACTCCGCCTCAAAAAAAAAAAAACAAAACAGTGATCTCTGTGTTGTTTCTGGGAAAATGGAGGCAGTGATTTGCTGAAGGCCATACAGCAAATATTTCTGTAGCCATGTGTTCTTTCCACTATATCCCACTATGCTAGGCTTTACCCCTCTTCCTCAGCAGCACAAGTTAAATGACTTCGTAGCATTTTTCACATTCAGGCAAAGGCCAAGGCCAAACAGCTCATTTAGTTGGTTGTGTAAATGTCTGAAGGCACTTAGTAGATTTAGTTTGAAAACCTCATTGAAGCCAAAATAGGTTTGGGGGTTGCTTACCTACCCTTTGTCTACGGAACCTCCCTGTTCTCAAACCGCTCTTCTTCCCTTTTCCCTCCAGGAACACCTGCTGAAGGAAGGGTTGGCGTGGCTGGATTTACAGGCCCCAGGGGAGGCCCACTACTGGCTGCCAGCTCTCTTCACTGACCTCTACTCCCAGGAGATTACAGCTGAAGAGGCCAGAGAAGCCCTCCCCTGACTGCGTGTGGAACGGCACACAGCAGCAGGCAGGGAGGAGGAGGAGGGCAAATAAACCTGGGTAGTTTTGTTTATAAAAAAAAAAAAAATAGAAAAAGTTCCAAGTTTTTCTTTCTTCCCCCATTCTTTTATTTTTGAAAAGTGCCTTCACATTGCATCTTTATTGGAGAAGACCTCGCTCATTCAGTAAGGATAATCTGATTAACACAGAAAACGGCAAGCACATATAAAATGATTTGTGCAGGTCATCTGCAAGTTCATGGAAGAGCTGGGCCTGGAATGCAGGTTGTTTCCTGGCCTGTCTAGTCTTTGTAGCTGTGAGACATAGATTACAGCCTATGCTAATTCAAAAATTTTTAATAAAATGTTCCTTATCTCAAACTAGCTGGTCCTAATGGATCAGTAAATACTATTCACTCTTTCAGCCTCTTCTGGTTTCCTCTAGGTTATGACAAAGTTAGCTGTGAGTGTGAAGGAAATAGAAGTCAATGTCCAATCGTGGCTCAACTGGAGGAAAGAAAACAATGGACTCTGAGGGGCATCAAACAATAGTTAGGGAATGTTCTATTTTCTCAAATTCCCTACTAGCTTTCTCACCCTCCTGTACTAGATTGCCAGGTCCCTCTAGCCTCAGTAGTGGGAAAGGGAGTCATTTACTGAACACCTACCCTGTCCCATTTTACATACAGCTCACTTAAATTTCACCAAGTAGGCAGCCTTCAGCGTCACAGGTGATTGAATCAAAGTAATTTGCCAGGGGCCGCCAGCTTCAGCGGAGCCAAAGCTGGAGCCTAGGCCTATTAACCCGAGCCCATGCCTTCATGTATCACTGCACAGTACAGAATGGCAGCACATACTGTGTGTAGACATTTTTCTGCACACATGGTCAGCGAAGAGTAAAAGCTTCTGCATCAGAAAGCAAGAATCTCCTACAGCAAGTAGAAGTGATGAGGGAAGAGGCCAGAGTTGTTTAAGGCTCCCAAAGTCGTTAGTCTAAAGGCTAAGATCCTTAAAAAGTGCTACTATACTGGAAATCTGAAAACTCAATGGTTTTTCCATACTGAGACCCTTCCTTTAGCAGGATATAGCCTGGGCCCATCTCTACCTCTGCCTGTCCTTGTAGGACATGCTCACTCCAAGTTCTGGAATAGGTCTTTGAAAGCCGCTGAAACTAAGATGTCACTGACTACCAGAGGCTTAAAAAATGAACCCCATTTCCAATGAGAAAACTTGTCCTGCTCTCCCCACCCGGCCCCGCCCTTCCACCATGTTATGCAAATCTTTGGCTTCCAGACAATTCACAGCACTTTCCTTCTCCCTAACAGTTCCAGGCCTAGGTGAGGTGTAGTTAACAAGATGATCCCACTCCTCCTTTACACAAGCCCTCCCATGCCCACAGGCACTTCCTCCTTCTGCCAAAACAAACTTTATTGCACCAAAAAGGAAAAAAAAAAAAAAAAAAAAAGAAAACTTCATTTATATACAGTCAGATATAAAGACATCTCTTTGACTCCTGTGCATATATTTCCTCAACTCAAGATTAGGGCATAAAAGTCAGGCTGCTATGCCAGACATGCTCTGCCCTATGGCAGGGCCAAGGAGAGGATTGTCACTTGAAAGTGGGAACACTTAAATGGATGACAGACAACACTGGACCCACAGACCAAGGGCATTTTTCTAAGCCCTGGAGTAGCTTTAGGAATGGAAGAGGGAAATTGGAAGCAGGGTCCCTTTTCAATCTTCATGTGAAGAGACCCAGCCTCTTCATGGGTATCCAAGATAAACTTCCGTTCCCCAAGCCCACCAATCCCTGTCCAGTTCCTTTGCTTCCTGCCCTCCCAAGTAGGACATTCTCCTTTTTGCCCAGCCCTGCTTTGCACAGATCCTCCAAGGGGAGTCCCATGATCCACAAGCCAGAGACTTTCATAGCAGCGGGCAGGGCAGGTACACACTATCCTCTCCCTTATGCATGACTGGACACTGACTGAGGCCCTGCATCACAAGAATTGCCAATACCCACTGGGAGCCATAACAATAAATCTGGAAGTATGGGGAGAACATATCAAAAAGGGGAAGGATGGATTCCCTTGATGCCCAGGATTACAGGGCACCTAAAGCACATTTTTTTTCTGAGCCAACCAGCTAAAGGATCACTGCAGCTAAATACAGAGAAGCAACACAGCCAGGCAAACACCCATCAGAGTCAGTGACAAGAGCAGCTGGGGGCACAGGGGAGGCGGAAGGAGAAAGAAGGGGAGGAGCCTCCAGAGCCCCAGCCCTAATCCCCTCTGCCATTGGCTACCCTTGCTCCCCACAAATCCCTGGGGTTGAAGTGAGGAGGACTACAGGCTGGGGTGAAAATACACAAGGACAGCCCAACAAAATACAATGACTAGCATCAGTCTCCCACTTACTCCACCCTCAAAAGAAATACCCTCATTGTGACTAGTATTTATGAAAATCTGTAAGACTATTCTATGTAGTGGCTCTAATCCCATATACACAGCAGCTGCCTGTGCCGGGAACTTTTCAAATCAGTGATTGTGGGAACAAACATATTTTCAGCTTCTTACGGTGCCTATGCAGGCTTTACCAAGACCTTGGTTAAGTCCCAGTCACATTTACCTTCTGTCTTACATCTAGAAAAGGGTGAGGAAAGGGGGGAGGGGAGAAAGGTGCTCAGGTGCTAGGTAAAGCTTACTGATCAGCAGCCTAGACTCCACCACTGTTCCTTCTCTTTGGTCTGTCTAGAACAGTGACTATAAATTAGGAAAAACAAAATTATGCTGGCCTGTGGGAAATAATGGGGGAAGGCAGGCAGGGAGGAAAAGGGCATTGGGAAGCCCTGCTTCAAGACTGAAGACAGACAAATAGACAACCACCCAGACTGCTTAAGTGTCACAGACAGCCCCCACCCCAAGCTCCCTTCCAGGTATCCCCATAAATCATTTGGGCACAATCCCTCTTGGAACTGCAATTTCCGTCTTCTACTTATCCCTAAGGAGCTGGCCCTGTGGAGAGGTGTGTTGGTTGTTTTGTTTTTGCCAGAGGCCCTCGCTCTAGGTGCTCCTGTAAAGGTACCTTGGCCCCTGATATGGGATGAACAGATGAACGTCGCCCCAGATGCTCCAGTGCCAAGGAGGTCAGACCAGGAACAGGCCCCCCACTCCCACACCCTGGGATCCGAGCTTGCTTGGTTCTCGCCATCTTGCAGGATGACTTCGAGTCTGGAGGGAGATACACAGTGCCTCTCCATCCCTGGGGTGGGGGGAAGGAATTCTGCTGGGACTCTTGAGTTGGGGGGAAAGGGGAGATGGGAGCAGGGTCTAAACCCTCAGGCTCCCGTGAAGGTCTGTCTCTGTCCCAGATGAGCTGCTATCAGAGTCCATTTCTGCATTCTCATTATGGAGCCTCTCCAGCACTTTCTGACGAATCAGTCCCAGGCGCATCAAGAGGGACTGGTAGTCAAAGTGGCCCCGCTTCTCTCCAAAAGGGTCCTATGGGGGAAAGGAGACAAGGGGATGGAAGATTCAAGTTTGGGTGTCTGATCCTAGAGAAAGCAGCTTCGGGTTCATGTGAAATGCAAGCTCAACTTCTGAGCCATGGGAGCAGGAAGGCCTAACAGCATAGGTAGTCCCGAACAGCAGGCAAAATAACCTTTGCTTAAAAATATGACACCTAGGCCAGGCGCCGTGGCTCATGCCTGTTAATGCCACCACTCTGGGAGGCTGAGGAGGGCGGCTCCCCTGAGGTTGGGAGTTTGAGACCAGTCTGAACAACAAGGTGAAACCCCGTCTCTACTAAAAATACAAAATTAGCTGGGCATGGTGACGCACGCCTGTAATCCCAGCCACTCGGGAGGCTGAGGCAGGAGAATCACTGGAACCTGGGAGGCGGAGGTTGCAGTGAGCTGAGATCAAGATTGCACCATTACACTCCAGCCTGGGCAACAAGACTGAAACTGTCTCCAAAAAAAAAAAAAAAAAAAAAAAAAAGACACCCTTACTGCCCCAAATAGGTGTAGCTTGGGCTAGAGTGAATATGTATTGGTATTCCTCAAAAGCAAACCAATATCCGGAAGAAGGGACAGTAAGGGTGAGATAGGGAAGAGAAACTCAAGACCAGAATTATAAAGTATACCTATGTTTTTAATTAACCTCATAAAAACCACAGAAAGTAAAAGTTGCCTTTTTTTCTCTGTACTCAAAAATGGCAATTTGCTTTTCTAAGGTCACAGGCAGGTCTAGAACTCAAGAGTTCTGACTTTCAGATAAGCACCTGTACTCCTCCCCAGGGACTTGTCACTCCATTCCTGTCCAGGTTTCTGGGCATTGCTCCAGGGCCACCTAGCCTTGATCTTAGTCCTTCTCATTCTAGAACAAAGATCCCTAAACATTTTACAGAAAGGTTTAATTGCCCCCAAAGTCTCAAAAACAACTAGTTGAGTGGATGGTATAAAAAAGTTTAAAATACTATATAGGGACTTAGGCAGCAAAGTAGTGCGACAGCCCCCAAAAGGTACACAACTTTCCCTCTCACATTGTTTGCTTCTCTCACAAGAACTCCTTCCACACTTCTACCCACACATTACCCTCATCCTGAGTGGGATGGCAGTGGGTGCTAGTCACAGTCACTGGGACTACAGCCTGCACTTCTCATTCATGAAAGTTAACTCCCTCATGACTGAGCTCCACATTTATCTATGAAGCTGTCAATTCTACAAATCTTCTTTCATCCATGGCTCCAACTCCTCTAATTCTCCTTCTGCCCAGATGCTGTCCCCCTTCCCATCCCTCATCACCAGTTGTTTTTCCTTTACACACTGGTATCGCTAATGCTGTTGGATACCAGCAATTAGAATTCCTGATGGGGAACAAACTAGGACATATGTCATTGATACACTCTCAAAAAGGCTTTAGGAGACAACTTAGTCCTAAGCCAGCCCTGCCCTTTGTGCTTAAATGAGACAGGTGGGTGGAAAGTCCTTGAAGGAAGGAAGGGAAAACTACCATTTATAAGTAGCACTGGAGAGAATAAGTCATCTCCTCCTACTGCTGTTGGTGTTGGGTGGGTGAATAGACATAGTACGAGAGCTGGAGAGAGCCTTAAGAAATCTTAAGTCAGTTACCCAAGTTACCCATTTTTTTTTTTTTTTGAGGTGGAGTCTGGCTCTATTGCCAAGGCTGGAGTGCAACAACGTGATCTCGGCTCACTGCAACCTCTGCCTCCTGGGTTCAAACAATTCTTGTGCCTCAGCCTCCCAAGTAGCTGGGATTACAGGCACGAACCACCACATCTGGCTTATTCTATTTTTAGTAGAGGCAGGATTTCACCATGTTGGCCAGGCTGGTCTCAAACTCTTGACCTCAAGTGATCTGTCTGCCTTGGCCTACCAAAGTACTGGGATTACAGGTGTGAGCCACTGTGCTGGGCCCCACAAGTCTCCCATTTCTAAGCAAGACCACCAGTAAGATGATCCAAATACACAGAACTGATTCTCCAGGACAGGAGAATTCTCATCCTCTTACCAACCAGGTGGTAAAGTTTACATTAGTCTATCAATAATGTGTTTTTGTTGTTGTTTTTGCAGACAGAAATCTTGTCCTGCTGCTCAGGTTGGAGTGCAGTAGTGCAATCTCAGTTTACTGCAACCTCTGCCTCCCAGGTTTAAGCATTTCTCATCCCTCAGCTTCCCAAGTAGCTGGGATTACAGGAATGAGCCATCAAGACTGGGTAATTTTTGTCTTTTTAGTAGAGATGGGGTTTCACCATATTGGCCAGGCTGGTCTTGGACTACTGGCCTCGAGAGATCTGCCCACCTTTGCCTCCCAAAGTGCTGAGAGTACAGGCATGAGCCACTGCACCTGTCTATCTACAATTTGGTCAACGATAGCCTCCTTCCTTAAAACAAGCCCAAATTCTGAGTTCTTATTGGAAGCAAAAGCACACTTTTGCCAGTAGAGGCAAATGAACAATGGCCAGCTATAGGGCTTCTACAATTAGCAGCAGGGGTTGTATTACCTGCATAGTTTGGCCTTGAAGGTGCAGGCGATCTTTGCAGGCCACCTCATAGAAGTCATAATACTCCAGAAAGGACTTTTCCATCACCCCTCTGGAAAACAAGCAGAAAAGTTAAGTCAGAAACCTAGGGGTACAGATCACCCCTTCCTCACCTAATCGTTTTTTGTTTTTTTTTTTTTTCCCGGATGGAGTCTTGCTCTGTCACCCAGGCTGGAGTGCAGTGGCGCAATCTCAGCTCGCTATGACCTCTGCCTCTCGCGTTCATGCAATTCTCCTGCCTCAGCCTCCTGAGTAGCAGGGATTACAGACATGTGCCATCACGCCTGGCTAATTTTTGTTTTTAGTAGAGATGGGGTTTCACCATGTTGGTCAGGCTGGTCAGGAACTCCTGACCTCAAGTGATCCACCTGCGTTGCCTCCCAAAGTGCTGGGATTACAGGTGTGAACCACCACGCCTAGCCTCCTTACCTAACCTTAATGCCAAATTAAACACCTACCATTCCCAAGTCCAAATCTGTTTTCTACAAAGATCTTTTTATTTTATTTTTTATTTTTTAAGTTTTTTGAGACTGAGTCTCGCTCTTTTGCCCAGGCTGGAGTGCAGTGGCACAATCTTGGCTCACCGCAACCTCCGCCTCCCGGGTTCAAGTGATTCTCACGCCTCAGCCTCCTGAGTAGCTGGGATTACAGGTGCGTGCCAACACACCCAGGTAATTTTTGTATTTTTAGCAAAGATGGGGTTTCAGCATGTTGGTCAGGCTGGTGCTGAACTCCTGACCTCGTGATCTGCCCTCCTTGGCCTGCCAAAGTGCTGGGATTACAGGCGTGAGTCACTGTGCCCCGCCTCTACAAGGATCTTTAAATGTAAAATGGAAAAAGGAACATCTAATTGCCCGTGGTTGACTTCCCCGACACGTTGGGAATTATGAGAGTGACTGTAAATACTCATCATTTGTTTTCTTTTTGAGGCAGGGTCTTGCTGTTACCCAGGCTGGAGTGCAGTGGTGTGATCACAGCTCACTGCAGTCTCAACCTCCTAGGCTCAAGCAATCCTCCCACCTCAGCCTCCTGAGTGGCTGTGACTGCAGGAGCATGCCATTACACCTGGCTAATTTTAAAATTTTTGTAGAGATGGGGTCTCCCTATGTTGCCTAGGATGGTCTCGAACTCCTGGGCTCAAGTGATCCTCCCGCCTCAGCCTCCCAAGCACTAGGATTACAGGCGTGAGCCACCACCAGGCCAGTACTCACCATTTGAATCCCAACTTCAACTCATGACTTGCTTCACCTCAATTGTTTTTCATAGGCCATCCCTAATCGCAAACCTTACTCAAAATTCTCCTAGAAATTTATTTATCTAACCCTGACATTGCTTATCCAGTTTTGGCACTTAAACTTCAGGCCGGGCGCAGTGGCTGAAGCCTGTAATCCCAGCACTTTGGGAGGCCGAGACGGGCGGATCACGAGGGCAGAAGATCGAGACCATCCTGGCTAACACGGTGAAACCCCATCTCTACTAAAAAACACAAAAAACTAGCCAGGCGAGGTGGCGGGCACCTGTAGTCCCAGCTACTCGGGAGGCTGAGGCAGGAGAATGGCGTAAACTCGGGAGGCGGAGCTTGCAGTGAGCTGAGATCCGGCCACTGCACTCCAGCCTGAGTGACACAGTGGGATTCCATCTCAAAAAAAATAAATAAATAAATAAAAAATAATAAAAATAAACTTTAGCACTAAGAAATGAGTTTATTATGAAGTGCTCTACACATTTGGCTGGAAAAAAGTACATCCAAGCCTTCATCAAACTGGAAACTCCCTGAGGGTGTGGACTGCCTTTCCCAAAGGCTTGGCGTTCTCCAACACAGTAGCTCTCTGAACTTTCTCTTGGGTAACCCTCAGCCGCTTGTTCTTTAAAAGCAGGAACCACATCTTTCCTTCTTCTCTATCTCCCTCTGGTGCCCAACACTGTCTCTGCCCCAAAGTTCCTCAAAGGTGCCAACTACCCAAGTGCCCCAAAGGAATAATACCAAGCAAGCCCTCTTGACACATACCGTAGGGGTTCAGGACAGGGACACTTTCCTTCCATCATGTCACAGACTGCAACTCTGATGGTCTCGTGCCGGATACATTCATTATAGTTTTTGCTGTCTCCTGGATGTCTCTCCTGTAATGTAACAGATGCCAGAGTATCCCAAAATTTAAGCAAAAAGAAAGCCAATGGGAAGAGACTTCAAGATTAGTATGGGGTATGTAAGCCAGTCATACAAACTAAAAAATACCTTTCCCACTATATGGCAGATCCATGAAGAGCAACCACACCTTTATTTTTGACACCATTCGCCCCACCACCCTCCAAATATACCACCAGGTTGCAGGTCATTTGGCCTATAACCAGCAAACTAGATCCACATCATTTTCCTGAATGTCAAGTGAAAGGCCTATCAAGTAAAGATTACGAGGGAAATAACCAAACATAAGAATGATGGTAGGGTTGCTAAGCCTTGTGGCATGCACCAGTAGTCCCAGCTACTCAGGGAGCTGAGGTGTGAGGATCACTTGAGCCCAGGAGTTTGGGTTCAGCCTAGACAACAAAGTAAGATCCTGTTTTTTCAGTTTTTCTTTTTGGAGACAGGGTCTTTGCTGTTGCCCAGGCTGGAATGCAGTGGCACAATCATAGCTAACTGCAGCCTTGACCTCCTGGGCTCTAGGGATCCTCGAACTCCTGGGCTCTAGCAATTCTCCCACTTCGGCCTCCTGAGTAGCTGGGACTAAAGACATTAGTCACCACAGCGGGTCCCAAGTTTGTATTTTTTATTATTTATTTGTTTTTTGAGTTTTGCTCGTCGCCCAGGTTGGAGTGCAATGGCACGATCTCAGCTCACTGCAACCTCCGCCTCCTGGGTTCCAGCAATTTTCCTGTCTCAGCCTTCCAAGTAGCTGGGATTGTAGGTGCCCGCTACCATGCCCAGCTAATTTTTGTATTTTTTAGTAGAGACGGGGTTTCATCATGTTGGCCAGGCTGGTCCTGAACGCCTGACCTCAGGTAATCCACCCGCCTCAGCCTCCCAAAGTGCTGGGATTACAGGTATGAGCCACCGCACCCAGCTTATTTGTCTTTTATTTAAAAAATTTTTAAGAGGCGGGCTCTTGCTTTGTCGTCCAGGCTGGAAAGTGGTGGCATGATCAGAGGTTACTGCTGCCTTGAATTCCTGGGCTCAAGCGATATTCCTCTCCTCAGCTTCCCAAGTAGCTGGGACTCAAGGTGCATGTCATAATGCCCAGCTATTTTTTTTTTTTTTTAATTTTTTCAGTAGAGACAAGGTCTCACTAGGTTTCCCAGGCTGGGAAACACTTGTCTTTTTAGGGGGAGGAAAAAAAAAAAGAAAGAAAGAATGATGGTGGGACAAAAAGGTATAAATGAAGTGAAGAGTCTCAGCGTGGAAAACCTTTAGGCACCAACAAGTAAAGGATGCTTCCTGGTTAACCCCTTTACCTGTTATATGTCTCTAGGGTCCCACCATCATTGAACCAATTATTATAAATCAGAAGTAGGGCTGGGCCCGACGGCTCATGCCTGTACTTCCGACACTTTGGGAAGCCGATGCAGGCGGATTGCTTGAGTTCAGAAGTTCAGGATCAGCATCGGCAACATGGTGAGATCCCGTCTCTATAAAAAATACAAAAATTAGCTGGGCATTGGTGATGTGCACCTGTCGTCCCAGCTACTCAGGAGGCTGAGGCGAGAGGATGGCTAGAGCCCAGGAGTTCGAGGCTTCAGTGAGCTATGACTGTGCCACTGTACTCCAGCCTGGGTGACAGAGCAAGACTTTGTCTCAAAGAAATAGTAAAATTAGAAATAAATCTAGCAGAAGCAGAACTTAAAACTTTCAAAAGATAAACTTCAACTTTGGTCTAGAAAGCCAATATAAACAGGATCTCACTATGGTGTGAATGGAAGGGGAGTACAGCCTCCTCTTTACTTCTTCCTGTGCTCTTCTCTTACCACCAACCCCAGTCAATTAGAGCCGTGGCCTCTGATAAAAGCAGCTGATGGGCCAGGCGCGGTAGCTCACACCTGTAATCCCAGCACTTTGGGAGGCCGAGGCAGGTGGATCACGAGGTCAGGAATTGGAGACCAGCCTGGCCAAAATAGTGAAACCCCGTCTCTACTAAAAATATAAAAATTAGCTGGGCGTGGTGGTGCGTGCCTGTAAATAAATAAATAAAATAAAAAATAAAATAAAAACAACTGCAAGTCATTGTAGAAGTAAAAAATAAAAAACACAAGGCTGGGCATATACACCCGTAATCCCAGCACTTTGGGAGACTGACGTGGGCAGATTGCTTGAGGCCAGGAGTTCAAGACAAGCCTGGCCAACATGGCGAAACCCCATCTTTACTACAAATACAAAAATCAGCCAGGCGTTGTGGTGTGTGCCTGTAATCCCAGCTACTTTAGGAAGGCTGAGGCACTATAATCGCTTGAACCTGGGAGGCAGAGGTTGCACTGAGCTGAGATCACACCACTGTACTCCAGCCTGGGTGACAGAATGAGAGTCTGCCTCCAAAAAAAAAAAAGATAAAACCTACAAATCAGCTCCTGCTAATGAGGTCTATTTCAATTAGAATCTCCTCCTGAAATAACTGTTTGGAGAAAGGATGGATTAGGGAATAATTTTAGTTAACTTTTGAAGCCAGACTCGGTGGTTCACGCCTGTGATCCCACCACTTTATGACGTTGAGGCAGGCTGATCACCTAAGGTCAGGAGTTCGAGAACAGCCCAGCCAACATGGTGAAACGCCATTTCTACTAAAAATACAAAAATTAGCCAGGCGTGGTGGT